CCCCCTCCTCCTCTTCCTCCTCCTCCTCCTCCTCCTCCTCCTCCCCCCTCCCCCTCTTCTTCTTCTTCTTCTTCTTCTTCTTCTTCTTCTTCTTTCCTCCTCCCCCCCTCCTCTTCTTCTTCCTCCTCCTCCCTCCTCTTCCTCCTCCTCCTCCTCCCCCTCCTCCCCCTCCTCCTCCTCCTCCTCCTCCTCCTCCTCCTCCTCCTCCCCCCTCCCCCTCCCCTCCTTCTTCTTCTTCTTTCCTCCTTCCCCCCCTCTTTTTCTTCTTCCTCCTCCTCCCTCCTCTTCCTCCTCCTCCCCTCTCCCTCCCCCCCTCCCTCCCTCCCTCCCCTCCTCCTCCTCCTCCTCCCCTCCCTCCCTCCCTCCCTCCCTCCCTCCCTCCCTCCCTCCGTCGCCACCTGCACTAACTGTTTCCCCTTTATCCTGCATTCGTTACCAGTGCAGGTGTGCGTGGGCTGTGTCTGTTTAACGTAGTCTGTAGCTAACACCTGCCTTTTTTATGTACAATTAGTTGGCTGTTTCTTAATTACTGGTCAGTTAGGGGACATTAGTGTGTAATTGAAATTGGATTTTTTTTTTGGGGGGGAGGGAGGCGCAGACAATATGTATATTTTTTAACTTGGTTATGGTGATTGACACGTGACTGACACGTGTGTGTGTGTGTGTGTGTGTGTGTGTGTGTGTGTGTGTGTGTGTGTGTGTGTGTGTGTGTGTGTGTGTGTGTAAGCGTGCGTGTGTGTTTGATTTTATGTGTGCGTGGGTTTGTGTGTTTGTCATATACACGTATATACTCCTGAATCAACCATTGTTTTTCTTAGTCTCTTTCCCCCCTTCTACAATTTTTCCTTTTCTCTTCTCCTCCTTCTCCCCCTCCTCGTCCTTCTCCTCCTCCTCCTCCTCCTCCTCCTCCTCCTCCTCCTCCTCCTCCTCCTCCTCCTCTACACCCCATCTTCCCTTCGTCCCCCTCCTCATCCTCCCTCCTTCCCCCCTTCCCCCTCCCACTCCTCCTTCTCCTTCCCCCTTCCCTCTTCCCCCTCCCCCTCCTCCTCCTCCTTCCCTCTTCCCCCTTCCCCCTTCCCCCTTCCTCCTCCCCCTCCCCCCACCTCTTCCTCCCTTTCCCATCCTTCCTTTATCTCCGTCCTTTTTCCTCCTCCCGTTGGTCCGTTGCCAACAGGGCGGGTCCGTAATAAAGGCCAGAGTGATCGTTTATATCAGCTCTTGGACTTCAGGATTCTGTTCGTAGGCAGAGTTAATAGGGAGGAGAGATAGATGGGAGAGGGAGGAGAGATAGGAGAGGGAGGAGAGATAGGAGAGGGAGGAGAGATAGATAGGAGAGATGAGAGAGGGAGGAGAGATAGATAGGAGAGATAGCTAGGAGAGGGAGGAGAGATTGATAGGAGAGATAGGAGAGGGAGGAGAGATAGATAGGAGAGATAGGAGAGGGAGGAAAAATTGATAGGAGAGATAGCTAGGAGAGGGAGGAGAGATAGATAGGAGAGATAGGAGAGAGGGAAGAGGGGAAAAGGAGAATGGGAAAGATGGAGGGAGGGGGGAGAGAAAAGGGGAAAAAGATAGAAAGAGTGTGTGAGAAAAGGAGACATTGGAGAGAGAATGGGAGGTGAGGGAGAAAAAAACGGGAAAGATAGGAAAGTATGAAAGGAATGTGATTAAAAGAAGGAAATGGGGAAGGAGGGTAGAAAAAAGGGCAAAAAAAACTGAAGGAGAGGAAAAGCGAAAAAGAAAAAGAGAGATACAGGCAGATTCGAAATAGAAAGGCGGCAGATGAAATAGAAATACTGGAAGCGAGGAAAGAGAGCGAATGAGAGAGGACAGAGAGATATTAAAAAAAGAGAGGGGGATGGAATATGGGAGAAAAAATTAAGGGAAAAAAGAAGAGGCAAGAGGGAATATGTGAAAGAGAGGAAGGGGGGATAAAAGAAAAGCAGAGTTAAGGAGAAATTAGAAAAGTAAAAGAGAGAAAGAGACAGGGAGAGGAGAGAGGGAGAGAGGAAGAAGAGAGAAGAGAGAGAGAGACAGAGAGAGAAGGAGAGTAGACAGACAGACAAACAAACAAAAAAATAGACACCGACAGACGCAGACACAGACAATCAGACAGACAAACAGACGAAGAGCGAAAGACGGAGAAGCCCGACTGAGTCCCTACGTGTCCCCTCCCCCCCTCGGCTGCCTCCCCCCCTGAATTCTCTTCTCATTTAATTAGAAACTTCACCTTATTGCTCGAGTTTTGTTACCTGGTGGTTTATGTTTACGAGTGACGTTTAGGAGGAATTTTGTCCAAGGAGATTGGGGCGGGGGTGGGGGGGGGGAGGGGAGAAGTCTAAGGGTGTGGGCGGAAGGGTAAGGGTGCGAGGGTGAGGGTGGGAGAGAGAGAGAGAGAAGGGGGGGAGGGAAATGTTGCTCAAGTTTAAGGAAGCATCCCTAAGGTGTATTTTTACAATTCATAATGCATTGTCAGAGAGTAGTTCGTTGTGTGTGTATG